GACCCAGGTATGGAGCAAACCCACTGCGATGGATTTGTTAGGACCTGGAAATTGAGCTGTTTTTCAAGATCACATTGAACAAAGTCAGACACAGTTCAAGTTCCTGATACCGTAGCATTAAACTCACAGAACCACATAATGTCTTTGAAATTTCAGCCTCTAATAGAAACAGTTTTGCCTGTTTTGTGCAAATTCAATCTTGCAGAACACTTCTCCCACAAGCAACAGTTTTGCAAAGAAAGTCCTTTATTTTTTTCAGGTTCTTCTAGCCAGCCTACATCCCTTTACCTTGTCATCCCCGTGGTGCACAAGGGCTAAAGACTCCTAACCGCAGGTCACCTTCCACTGCCAGACACTGCACTTGATGTCCACCTCTCCAGGACTGGCCACCACCTCCCTGAGGGGAAGCGCTGAGGGCCACCAGACACCTTGCAGAGGAACCCAACATGGCCCTTCATTTGGTTTCTTTCTCCCAGGAGCTTTGCAGCTCTACATGCCACCTTCTGCTTCAGAAAGGAAAACAACTTCTTATGGATCCTCTTCCAATGTGCACTTCATGGGCTACAAAGGACTGAACATTCCTCCAACCTAGGAAATTTCAATTTTCCCATGGAAAAAAGAAGCAGATGCATCTCTTGTCTGCAAGACCATGTCTAGCTCATCGGGGATTTCCCTTACCCTCCCTTCCCTGCTGAGGGTAGGTGCCTCCGGAAACTACAATCATTAACTACTCTCTTATCTCTTTCTTTCTTCTCGGTGATTTTGATCAGAATCTCACATTTCCCTCTTCAATCTGTTTTGCCCTGAACCTTAATAGTTGTACTGCAGTGTGTCTCCTACTCACTTTCTCCCCAGATGTGATTTAAAGTAACTAAGTGATAATCCTCATCTTTAGGTCCATTGGAATGGTATTCTGGCAGCACTGAATTTCTCTGCTGCTCATAATGGAAAAGGCTTTCCAAAACAGCTTTCCAAATCTCTGTTCTGCTTATTCAATGAGCTCAAAACAGTCTTGTTACTTTTTCTATTTAAGAGCAATGGAAGTTTAAGTTACTCATGAATTCCCCAAGGCGTAGGAAATCTATAAAAAGTAAGAAGCACAGAAAACAAAAGTATTAGGTGACCTATGTACTTCACTCATTCAATCTCTACCTTTGCCCCAATTTATATTTCTAACCAATGGACTCGTACAACGAGCACATGGACACATCTGAACTGGAGCACATCTGAACTTTGATGCTCACAGCTTGAGAAACACAGGATTTTCTCCTTGATAGCTACTAAAATATCTGCTGAGTCACATACTGACTCAGCTGTATGACTCAAACGGAAGAGCCCCTGGGCCTGGCAGAGGGGAAAAATTCCATCCCTACCCAATGAATCTTCAGCATTTTCTACTGATAAAATTGGGGATTGACCATAATCTGTACACAGTGCATCCCGGCCACACTTTAGAGTGCTGTAATATCTAAAGACAACAGGAAAGGTCATTTGCTTCTGTTTTGTCCTAACTCTGAGGCTCTGACTATGCCATGCAACAGGAAAGTCTAAAAGCCCTCCTGGAAAGTTTGGTTTAGGTTCCCCATGCAACCTTAATTCATCTATTTTATGTATATGCATCTATTTTATATATATGCATCTATTTTATGTATATGTAGGCTTTCTATGACTGCTTGATTCAGCCAGAAGTGTAAACAGCTCTTCCAAGAGCACTCAAAAAGAGGTAATTTCTAAGTCTAAGGTGAACCTGCAAGTCACTAGTGCCTCCTAGGCAATGTAACTTCAGAAACTATCACTAACAGCCTGCTCTCAGAGTAGAGGTCAAAACCACGATCCAACACAGGATGAATCCTGTTCACTTCCACCTTACATCCCTCAGTGCCCAGGGTTTTTTAAGAGCACTGGGGCAAGAGGTATGAAAATTCATGTAAGATGCTGGACACTATGTGGGGTGAGAGACTGCTTGTTAAGAGACAAAACGAGGAGAGGTCCATTGCTGATCGGGCTGGGAAGCAGTAGGAAGCTTGATGAACATCCACAGAGGAGTTCTCCACTTGGGAATGTCACAGCGGCCTGGCTTTTCCAGCTGCTGCTGGGATGGCATGCAGAAGCCGAGGAAGGTACTAGAGAGGGTTTGCCTCATTCCAGCTGGTGCCGTAATCCCAGAAGAGCCTACCCCAACCTGCCCACCCAGAGGCCTGGAACAGAGAGGCTCGAGATCACTCCTGACATCCTCCCCTGCTCACTCTCGCATGGAAAGCCTCCCAAAGCGACGCTTCCCTTGCAGCAGGTGTTAGTCGAAATCCTCCCTGGCTCCATACACCAAGGCAGGGCCTTGAGGCCTCGGGGCGCCATCGCACAGCCCCTCATGGCACCCGCTCCAAGCTGTGGCGGCGCCCGAGCTGCCCCCGTGCTGGTCGCCCTCCCCTCGCTCCCCTCACGCACAGGCGCCCTCGGAGCGCCCGGGCAGGGCTGCCCAGGGCCTCGTCCAGGCTTCAGCTGAGCAAACAGCGCCGAGGGGGAGGCAGGGATGCGCCGAGGAGAAGCCCTGCTCTCCTCCACCTCTGCTGGCGGCAGCCACAGGGGACAGATCAGAGTTGAATTAAATCACCAGTATTAAACAAACAGGCCTGGCCTCTTTGAAGTTCTGCTTCCCCTCAGCGTGAGCTTCCCTGGGAGGCCTCTCTTGGTGAGGCCATCGCTTTCAGAGAGTTAACTCTTCAGGGGACCTTCCGGCTCTCCCGAGTGCTGCATCTCACCCTCTTTGGACTTTGTGGCCTACCAGGGTGACATTAGCTCGGTGTCTGCTGCAGTTAGTGCTGACAGCTCTGCACAGCAATTTCCCCCCTTTGGGAAGGGAATCTCCCAGACCTCACTGCTGTCCTTCAGGCACTGCACTGAAGGAAGCTTAACTGAAAAAGTTCCTGAAATTACAGGAAACAGGGATCCCTTTCTGGCAATGCCTCCTGCAGCCCCCCCAGAAGCCTCACTCACTGGAGGAGTAAAGGAACAAGGCAGGAATTGAACTGCAGAAGGAGAAAATTCTCAGCACTGCCTTCTCTTGGCTTAATGCCACAAAATGGAGATTGGAAAGTCTGGGGCAGGACAGGGAGGGAGTGAAGGAAAAGTCTTTCCTTGCAGAGGAAAGTGAAATACCAAAAGACAACTCGGATCCTGACTCTGTGGCATTTCTGAATGGTGTAATCTCTTCAAAACCCTGCTCCAGCCCCAGCTGCTGAAAGAGAGTAGAAAGGCCCCTGCAAGCAAAAGCTGCCTGCGGGTGGGAGTGGGGAGATGCCATTTTAGAAGCTCCTATTTTTTTATGCATGTAGGAATTGCACATTGGCTAATGCAAGAGGGAAACTGTCACTATTACCTGTCAATGAGGGTGAGCAAGTGCTTCCCAAGAAGAGACCAAGTTATCAGTGTTGTCCCCACAAACGGGCATTATTTCTAGAGTCTCAGCCTGCTTATTGCTTTGGTGCAGAGAGAGAGGCCTGAAGGGAGCGCAGAGCTGCACGCACAAGACAGATACGCTGCAGAACGGCGGCGGATCTCCATTTCTGCTGCAAATGTGACTTCTACATCGCACTTGAAATCTTGCATCCCCAAAACTCCCTGAATTTGCTTGCAAAAAAACGCTCCTCCCAACACAAAAATATTGTAGTAATTTCAGGCACTTCTCAGGTATTGCACAAAGAAGCTGGGCAACAAACTCTGATTCTGGAGTCGCTGCTGGAGAGCTCAAACACCGGCTGTGAGGATTATACAGCAGCTCCACGGAGCCTACAGGGTGGCAGCAGGCAAGAAGCAAACAAACAGCAGGAAGTGTGGGAGAGGCCGGGAAGATCAAGGCTGAATGCAGAAATCCAAGGTAAACACAGAGTGCCTTTCGATTCCCAATCCTAGCACAAATCATCTCAACACAAGGAGAGCGCACAGCTTGGCTTGCACACAGACCATACAAGACTTGCTCGGGCCATGCACCCTGACACAAGCTCTGCAACACTGAGAGCAGAGCTGGCTCACACCAAAGGACAGCAGGAAAGCACTACCTATCATCAGCTGACCCTAGGTTTCCAAGGGGAACAGTCCGAACTGAGAATCCTTCACGTCAGGTGGACAGGTTGCTCTCTTGCTTCTAGTTCCATTTACAAGTGTTCGCTGGACTTGCCAGCCATCGCATTCATGCCAGAAGGCAGTGGATGGGGACAATGACAGCTCCTTAAACACAACTGCAATCACAGCAAGCAACAGACATCTGAAATTCTCAGCAGTCAATGATCAGACACTCGAGCATGGACAGTCATTTCTCAGAAAGTTTCCCAATACCATCCCTAACCATGAAGTCATTACTGCACCAAAGAGGTAGATATTATCTGCTTCAGACCTAATTTTCCCAAGTTTCCAGCAGAGATTATAGTGTAAAGCAGAGCAAGGGAACTGTCAGAAGTACAAACAGCTGCATTCTCGCTATTCTAGAGCTGGCCTCACCCCCATCATTCTCACTCACCACAAGAAACAGAGATACTTTAAAGATAGATACTGTAAAGATAGACAGTTCTAATTATACCCTTATTATACCCCCAAATAGCCGAGTCCAACTGGGTAGAACTTCTCTTGTGTGTGCTGGAGACATAGAAAAGACTCTGAGAAAACTCCTAAATGGGAAGAGAGCTCAGCAATGTTACCCACTATTATCATTCCTCCAGAAAAGAAGCCATCACTCCGTCAGAACAGCTGTGACCTAATGCTTTTGCTTCTATGTTCTTGTTTCACTGCTAATAGATATGATGATCTGTACCTTCTTGCAAGGTTTTGAGGAAGTTTGCAACAGAGAAACACGGATGGGGAAGGGAGTACTCTACTGCATACCATGTAGCAGTACCAAAGCAAGAAAGAGCACCCAAATGTGCTTCCTTCCAGTCTCCGCCTGCACTGTTGTCCTTTGATAGTTTGAGAGAAGAAAGAAGAGAGTTAAGCAACAATGTGGACCTTACCTTTTGTTCCAGGGGGCTGCAGATTATCTCCCGTCAGCGAGCACCAGCCTACGGGAAAGATGTCCCGGGAATCATATCGGCACCAGTAATCGAAGGCACCTCTCCAGCCATCAAATGTTATGAGGACCTCAGAACCTCTCACCTCCCCAATGGTGGCCGGGCAGATGAAGTGAGGGTTCTTCCTGTCCACTGCCTCCAGCTTCATACCTGTCTTGAAGAAGTTTTGGGATGGAGATGGTGGTTCCTACAAGGAGATGTTGAAAAGATGCTCAAAGAGAATATGCCAGTGCTTCCTCAGACCAGCCTGCCCCTTCCATCAGCAAACTCACTTCCACGAGCGGGTGAAGGGAGCTACTGGTCTACTTTGGACTCTCAGTTTAGAAGTGCACAACCAGCTACGCAACCATCTGCCTTTGTAAGTCAAGAGACAGCAAAATCCACTACTGGCTGCTCTGGGATCCCCAGGCTGACGGATCAAATCCAGACAGTGATGAATCACCATCGCCATCCTGTGACAACTCTGTCATGCAACACAAAGTGAAGCTCCAAATAGTCCTTCGGAGAAACGCTCACCTCATGTTTCCTGACAGGGCAAGAAAAATTGAGATGTGACAATCCTTCTCCATCACCTTTCCCCACCTTCAGCTTTGCTAGGCATGTGAGAAATTCACCAGCCAGCCTCACCTCGAGCTTGCTCTTCCTCAACTTTTAGATGCAGATATAGTGAGGCCACCTCGAGCATTCTGTACCACAGCATATGACTCTAGACCGGCCTCTGTCTCTGTTTTCTTATTCCCTAGTGAACTCAAACTAAGAAGTGACACTTGCAGGGCTATCTTATAAGCAGCAGAAGGTGCTTGCACTCCTTGCAATCCTGCTACAATAAAATATTTCAGAGCTCTGCTCCTGATTTTGAGCAGCACTTACAGCCTATGGGAAAAACAAGCGGAATTTCTCAAGCCCAAACTTTGGAGTCCTTTCTTCGTACACCACAATCTGCATCCTGGCACACAACACAGCTGCAAGAGACCCAGCTCTGTCCTAGAAAAGCAGCACTGGGGCAAAGCTGGGCAATACCTCTCTCTTCTCAGGGATCAGCAGTTTCCATAAGAGAAACGAGGTGTGATTTTGCTGATCTGCAATAACAGGGACATGCCACACGGATGTCTTCACAAACAGGAGCAACATACCTTGTGAAATATCCGGATAGGAGCCATCTCTGCTCCATTCAAAGTCTTCAGAAGAAACATGGGCCAAGAGGAGGCATTCAGCCGAAAGCCTGTAAAAAAGGACGAAAAATTGGAGACTTTAGGGCTGTGGGGATCACTGGATCAGGCAGCAGTTGTGATGTGGACTCTGCAGCCTCCCCCTTTGCAGTGGGCATGCACCGCTCCACAACCCTGAACAGTCAGGTTTGACTTCTTCCTCATCCTCTGAACACAAAATATGATGTTGCTGAAAAGAAACACCTGGAAATGGACGTGTGATACCAATTTTCCCTTAACAAAAACCTTTACACTGACCATGCAGGCAGAATGCTTTACATAAAACTAATACTGGCAACTTCAGTGACACTACTATGGAAGGGTCTTAAATCAGCCAGGGCACATGCAGACTATGAAATTTCTTCCCCACTGGGGAACCTCAGCTTCTGGGTGGCCTCCTCCATCTTTCAGGAATCAGCAGTAGGCAGCTAACCTGAAGAAACAGAGAGAAGCTGGGAAGCAGATCTAATCATCACGGGAAACGAGGGCAGGTTTTATCTGGACACCTTCTGAGGGGAAGCACAGGAAGGGATTTATGGGATGGAAAGTGCTCTGAGTCTATGGCACTGAGTAGGGTGACACAACAGATCTGTGTCCACCGCTTAGCCCTGCTCCTTCCACACTCCTTATGGATCCGGGGCTGTTCTCCAGAAAGGCTCGTGTCACAACCCAGCTGGTACCCGAGCCCAGCACTCACTGTTCTGCTTGAAAGAGCACCACAAGAAAAAGGAGAAAAAAAAAAAAAAGTAAGATCAAAGAGAAAGCAGAAAAAGACAACAAGAAATGATGAAAACCGCAACACAGAACATGGCACGGAGCATCCCACTGAAGTGAGATCACAAGGAGACACCCAATCGTACAGAAAATGCAGATCTGAACAGCACGACCACAAGCGGATCCAGAGAGCACAAACATCATCTTTGCTCAGAGGGCAGCTTCCTCTATAGAAGGTGGTTTAAAATAGGCCATTCTGTTGCTCAGCTGAACCGGGCTCTGCTCTTTGTCTCTCCCTGCAGTCCTGGGGAGTTAACCCTGGGATTGGACCTCCACAGAGAGCATCCCGTGGAACTGCAGTGGTGATCAGCACTGGAAGGCAGGTGACACAGTCACCCTCATCAGAGATGGCCACTGAGACTTCTTCACAAAGTACTAGCCCACTCTTCTGGCACCGCTGCAGGAGAGTTTTGATCTGGAACTCAATTACATTTATTGCCATCTGCTGGCACCGCTCGGAAAAGGCACGGGAGGAACCTCCCTGTCAGACTGAGAAGGGTAACCCCTGCTCCTGGGTAGGCTGCACAGGAGAGGGCAGGCACCCTCGGAGCAGAGTTCCAAAGAAACATCAGGAAAGGGGCAGCATTCACCTCTAATATTAATTAGCTGCAGCAGGGTCTGTTTATAGCAAATACGAAGGGGAAGGGTATAATCATATTTGCACACACGTTGCTTTGTGAGGCACGATGGGCCACAGCACGCTCTTGCTGATTTGTTTCTTCCTTCTTCAGGAAGGTCAGTCCCAGAGGCCCCACTGCAGTTTAGCCTACAGTTCCACAAAGGTCACACATGGTTTTCCCGAAGAAACTGTAAATAAAAGTATTTGTAATGCAAGATTGTTTCCATTGCTATAGATCAGATACTACTAATATCTAATTCAGAGAGTGATTTATGAGGGCATTGTAAAAATAATGGGTGGTAGAATGCAAACTAAAATTAATCTGACTGCTGAGTCGGGAAAGAATCAGCAAATGGGCCCATCTTTTGGTTAGTGTCAAGGAAAGATGTGTGTTTATCTGGAGATAAGGCTGGAAGGCACGTTGGGCTACCCAGGTTGTTTATAAAGCTGTAGCCGAGTAAAGTTAAACAAACAAACAGATGAAATGCCACAAGTGTCCCTTTTTTCAAGACAGAGCTTAAATCACTGGGAGCTTTTACAGCCATGAGTTTCCCCATTAAATGGTCTCAAACTAACCTTCTATTGCCCCAGAGACACTTGGAGGCAATAGAGGAGGGCAAGAATGAAAATGTAAGTGCTCACAGTACCAGGATTAGCAGAGATCCAGCCGGTGCCTCGGCCCTACCTGCTCTCTGGGGTTATCCTCTAGGCCAAGATTGAGGAAACCTCCACGCGGGTGTCCGTGCTGTGCCCCACATGCAGGGGCTGCGCGGGGCAGGGCTGGCGGGTGGCACCAGCTGGTGCTGCTCAAAGGCAACTCCTTTGGGAATGACCCCATTGCACACGAGAGCAAAGACACAGGCAGAGGTCTGTGGTGAGGCCACCGCCACGGCTACAGGCCCTACTGCCTCTGTGGCAGCGTGTCTCATCCCAGAAAAATGACTTGGATTTGCTGTGCTCATATACGGGCAGTCACCCAGGATCACCCGCACACGGGACGAGGCTGAGAGAGCTGGAGCCTGCAGAAGAGAAGCCTGAGCAGGGACCTTATCAATGTGTACAAATACCTGAAGGGAGGATGCAGAGGGGACGGGGCCAGACTCTTCACAGTGAAAGGATGAGACATAATAGGCGCAAATGGAAACCCAGGAAAGTCTGTCTGTACGTACGGAAAACTTTGTGTACTGAGAGGAACAGAGCACTGGCTGCCCAGAGAGACTGGGGAGTTTCCAAGGATGGAGACATTCAGAAAGGGACAGGTCTGGACAGGGACCTGGGCAAAGAGCTTGAGGTGACCCTTCCTGAAACGAGGGATCGCGCTGGATGATCCTCAGGGGTCCCTTCCAACCTCGACCACTCCAGTTCTGTGAAAAAGCCCTCATAGTCGCTGCATTCAGTGTTACTGCCCAAACCCATCGGTCAGCAGGTCTTCGGGTTATCCCTCCTTTGCTACTTTGGACTCTAGGAAACTGGGTAGCTCTGGGATTTTTTTTCCATATGAATGGCTGGAAAATGGCTTTGAAGTACATAGGGAGAATTTCAGAAGGCACAAGAGCATTGTCAGCATATGTTAAGCTTGTGCTCGAGTTGCAGAGATTGCAAGCAAGTAATCTGAGTGTAAAGAGCTTTCATCTCCATTCCAACACATCCCCCCATGCCACGATGTGAAACTGAAACACGGTCCCAGCATGGAGCACATGTGAGCAGCAGCCCAAGCTGGAAGGGCTGCTCCACCTCACAGCAGCAGGCAGGGGCAGCCCATGTTCCTGTCCCAAGCACAGGAATACGGAGCGGCCTCCGCTCTCCCCGCGGATGACACCGGTGCTCGGCCCCACGGAAGGGCTCCGGCTCACCCAGCGGAGGCTGCAGCATCCCCCCGTTCTTCTCACAGTTCCCTATGGGCTGGATCTCGGCAGAGTCCACCAGGCGCCAGAAGTCGTTCTTGTTGTCGCTGCCATCGAGGCGCAGGCGGAGGCGGGCGCCCGTCAGACCCACCACGGTGGCGATGCATGTGGACGTGGTGTTCCTGGGGTCCTGCGCTTCCAGTTTCATGCTGATCTTGAATTCATTGGCAGGTGGAGTGTACGACTGCAAAGAGCACAACAGGGACACGGTAAGAGCCAGGGTTTCTAATGCAGGCAGAGAGCTAAAGCCCTGGGTGCACCCAGACTGGCAGCACCCTCCAAGAACAGCTCGTAGGCACCATACAGCAGAAATAAAGCTCACAGTAAAGCTCAGGGGCAGATCTGCCACTCGCAGCACTCGTGAGGCACAGCATCCCCTGCAAAACTAGCCCTGTCTTTTCCTCTTGGGCCCCTTTTCAGGAGAAGCTTCTAGCCCGCATGAAGCCCCAAGCAGATACCACACACTGTGCTGCTGCCCTCCATGCCCACATCGTCCTGGATCCCCTTGGACCCACTAACCACACAGTCAAACCAGTGCCCAAGAGGTCACTGTTCCACTCGCAAAGATCTAATGAGTTCTGTAGAAACCCTCCATTTTTGGACAGGATCCACTAGAACTTGTATCACAGCCTAGTCAGAACTCCAAGAATCTGTGTTTAGCAGAGAATAAAAAGTGTTTGGACATTCCCATCCACATACCTCAGAGTTAATCTTCTGTGCTGCTCTGTATCATCTGCAGCATCTAACATACTTGTTTAATCTTGGCTCTAACACATTTGGATTTTCTATTAAGTCTCTAATATTCTTAAGCAATTTCTTGCCAAAAAGGAGGCCTATGCTAAGGCACAGAACTGTTTAGGTTCCAAGCAGATCATTCTCCATGGCCTTTCTTGTTTCCATTCACCCTCTTACCTGCTTGAAGCAATGAGCAGGAGCTGGGATGGCACATGTCTCCTTCAGGTATTTATCCCAGGTGAAGTGACCTGAGAAGAGATTAAAAAACAAAGGGATTCATACAGGAACTTAGGAGCAAAAAGCTCAGAAGAAGGACAGCAGGACGGCGAGCAGCACTCGGCTTCTCGAGAGGAGGTGCTCCCAGGGCACGTGTTTTCATCACGATCCTCTCATGTTTGTGACTACTGAAGATTTACACCGGGCACCAGCAAGGACTGCGAACAACCTGTGAGCAAAGTGCCCCTTGAACCACGCTGGAACCGCGTGCTCTGCGCTGCAGACGCTGAGGGGCACGAGCTGAACGAGCCCAAAGCAGCCCCAAACTTCCCCGCTGCTGACCCTGGGGTCCACCCCGTCCGCCGCGCATCCTGCGGACAGCAGCTGTGGGCAGCGATCGCCAGCCTCGGGCAGCTCGTTATGGGGCAGCTCAGTAATTAATTTCTTAAAGCGGACGCAAGGTCCACGGCTCAGGCAGCATGGAGGGCAGGGAACCTCCAGGCAGCAATTTACTGCCCAGAGCAGGTCGTATTCACCAGGGAAGCTCCTCCGCTTGAGCAGCCTTCGGGAAGGGCAGTTTATCACCGCCTGCTCCGCTCTTTCATGTATATCCAGGCACAGCAAAAGCACAAGCCCATCAAGGGGAACCTGTTATTAAATGAGGAATTAAAAGCTCCCATGATCCAAGCAAATCATGACTTTTGCCATTTAGACTGAGCAGCTGGGAAGGGATCTTTCCAGCATGACATTAGCTTGAATTCATGTGAACAGCTCCCAAGGGACCGTTGCTTTCAAGTCATTTCAAGAGCATTGGAGGCAGCACAATTAAATAGTCAGTTACTGCTTCCCTTTTTCATGTCAAGCTTTTAATCAGTTTATTTTCAAAACAAAAGCTATGTTAGAGCCATTTTAGCTGCTGCAGTGCCCACCACACCTCTGAAAACTCAGACGTTAAGATCAACACACATTATTTTTGTTCTGTCTCATATCAGCCCTTAAGGGCTTGATAATCTACGAGCTCCATATAAATAACAAACACAGCTTTCCTGCCACCTCCCATGCAGATCACCAGCACTCCTTAAATACAGCGGAAAAGAACAGAAAAAATAAACGAGTTTCGCTGCCATACTGCCCTGATATATTTCTGTTTACAGATGCTGACAGCGCTCTCCTTTCTTCAGAGTGCACGTTTCCATCAGCTGCTGCCTATTTTCTTTTCGGCCTGCAGTCTTAAACTGGGGTGAATGAAGAAATTAAGTTTTTCACTGCAACCATTTTCTTACCAGAAAAAAAACCCACCCATAATCTTTTGGGCTCATCAAATACACAAGTTTACACTCACATGTATCAATGAAACTCTTTGTACCAATATTATTTTTATGAAGAGTCTGCAACACACACAACTGAAGTATGACCCAGATTGAACACAGGAGTTTATACAAACCTTGCACTCTTGGCATGAAAATACCTGGATACATCCCGCCCGTTAGCTTTGATTCCAGTTCATCCAAGCTCCTGTTCCTTGCCCTTATCCCAGACTGGACTCCCTGTCAGGAGCTGTGTGGCCCCGGGGCTCAGAGGATGCTCCTGGTGCCAATACCCAGGGCAAGCAGCGCAGGCCTCAACAAGCTTCTCGGAAAGGATCAGCTGCTTTTGACAATTTTGTTTTTAAAAAATTCCCCCTCCCTTCAGCTGGTTTCAATCCCACAATATTAAGGCTCGTGATGGTTTTAATCGCTCCCCTTGTCACTTCCTGAGCTAACAGAGGCCGTTCTGCTCCTGCAGAGCAGCTCACATTGTAGCAGGGATCAACGCTATAAAACTCCAGCGGGAGCAGTAAACTTCTGAGACAGCTGCGTGCCTCTAAAAATAGCGTCTGGACACGGAACCTATTTGAAATTAATTCTAAAGCCTGTTGGGATCCAACCGTCGTATGAAGAAGACACAACACTAAGACTGCTGCTACTTATGACTCACATTTACTCACATTTTGCAAAGAAAAGCAGGAGCAGCGGAAGGACTTTTCTAAATTCTACCAAAACCAGAAACAATAGAGCAGAGTGTTAAGTCCTCCTTCTCCGCTGGGCATTGGTAATTCCTTTACATAAATATGGAATGACAAATATTGTAAGACTCTGTTTCTTCTTCAGAATTTCTCATAAAATAGGACAGAAAATGCATGCCGAACTGGGAAACTCTCCCCTTAGCCTTAACATAAGAGGGAGCCTGGTACAGCATGTAGGGAATGGTGTTAAATAAAAATAGTAATAATATCCAGCTCATAATACAATGTTTTTTAGCCAGGAATTTCAAGCTGGTCTCAAACATAATGAAATATGATCAACTTCAACCTAAAAGCCACAAAACTACGGCACAGAAAGAAGAAGAAGAAAATGGTATAACACAAAACTTGGGCTTTTTATAACAAAGGGAAAGCAGCCAACAAAACAGCGGAAGAAAAAGCAGCAGATACTTAAGACTGTGTTAACCAGGGAGCAAGGGACAAGCCCAGAGCCCTGCACCTGAGAAACAGCATCTAAAAGAAGGCCAACAGCTCCGGGGTGGCTTCCTTAACCACAGGTCCTCAGCACTGTCCAAGTCCTGCTTGCTGCATTGATCCAAACTCAATTCCCAACATACCTGTTTCAAGGC